ATAAAAGTGGTAATAAATAAACTTTCGGAGAAGGTAATTAAACGCATCATTTATTCTCAAAATGTATGCAGGTGAAAAAAAATCATTGGTCCGAAGTAACTTTGGGTACGTGCAACCGAAGACGACGAGAAGTCCCTTCATCTGCTATTTGCTCGTCTTCTTCGTATATAGGAGTGTCAAGTAGAGTCTTCGTATCCTTTGACCCTCTTGGTGGTACCCAAACGTCGGAGTCGTCACGTTCAAACAATGCAAAATATCTACATACAGAGGCAACCTACGGACTTCAAAATGAAGAACGTGAGGAAACCATGGATTTATCAAGGCCATAGTCCTCAGCGAGTTGGAACACCGTCTTCTCTTCAAGTTGATAAGACCTTATCATGTCTACGGCCTGCTGCATCGTGATTTTTCCCTCTGGAATAAACTCGGGCACAGCAAACCCGAAAACAAGATGGGGAGGGGGCAGCGGACTACCAAATTCAAGCCTCTTATTAATAACATGACTAAAAGGCATTCACTGTATACCTGGGGCAGTTTCCGACTGGACTTTAGAACATAATTGAAACCCTCAGGCAAGATCGAACTTTTGACTCCCTCACTTGCTATATCAAATGATGCAACACGTCCTTCCAAATCAGCGTCCTTTTTAGCTAAGGCTTCTTCATATTGACATGAGCTTTTCCCAAATTTTGAGCTGCTTAGGACCGCTTTTCTCTTAGCTTCTACCTTATCAAAGTGTCTCAATGCTCGATTTGTAGAATTCCAATTCCTTATAGCACGTTTGGCGGCCGAAACTGCGACACCCATCTCGCGCACGTTGCACACTGACCTAAATGTCGCGCTCAACAATTATAGCGAGTAGTCTCATTCATAATATCATTCAGTGCTTAATATAAGTGCTGTGATTCTATAAAATAGAAGCAAAAGAGGCTTAAAATGTCAAAATAGTAAACGTTATACAAAAGCTAAAAATGGATTGTAATGTACACGAGGGTGTATAAGTTGACCCATATAGCGGAGAGGCGGGAAGCGAGCAGTAGTGCTTTGTTTATTTATTGCCTGCATGATATATGGTCATTATTGTAGCGTCTCGAGGCTTCTCATAGGGTGGAAGAAGGTATAAGTGGAGTTGAATACATGTATTCCGAAGACGTCAGGGCAAATGGGTCTTGAGCGTGGCCCGAAGGTCAGCCTACCTGTACAGGGCCAGACAAAATCTAAAGTGACTACCAAACGTCAGGTAGTCACATAAGCGAAGCATTACACTTATGGTAAATGTGTAAATTCAAGTTCAAATATAGCGTATTCCAATGACTACTAAGACGTCGCAGAGCTCTACGTCAGCAAACACTACTGCTGTGGTTTCTCTGATGTCGTTACCGTTGTTGTTGTTCTATACGCAAAACAGCTATTGCGGCTGGAACTCACTTTACAGATACTCCTCAAATTAGCATATGAAGTACATCATAGCTTCCCGAGACTTCCTACTAGACATGAGGAGTTATTAAATTGGGCTAAATACACGTATTCAAGGTCGAGACGAAAATGTTGGAACTTGGCACGTCCCATTGCTGTGACGATAATGCAACATCGGCGTAAAACGTAGCATTTCGAGACTTCCTGGTTGGCATAAGAAGTTAGTAAGTGCAGATGGATACATGTACGCTAGTTAAACTAGCAGCCAACGTGTTGTATGTTCTGTTCCTCCGAGCATTGTTCTCAGAGCTTTCTTTAGTTAAGGAAACAGCTACGAGTCAAACCCAATCGACATTGTTTCTTCATGATACCCAAAATTAAAATATGGAGAGTTGTCCTCTATGGTGAGTGGATGCTGCGACGGAAGAGTGCTAGCCAACATGCTTTTCTGTCACAAGGCGTGGAAGCACCACTAGTCATAAGTCACAGTCAGCCACCAACTGATGGGAGATGATAGGAAGGAGAATTTTGGTCTGTTTTCCTTTCCTACTCCTTCCCCATTTAATACCGCCTACGCGCCCCTATCTGAGTTCCATCCACCTAGTTGAAAGGTGACGTATTTGTAGAGTGTTTTCTTCGTTTACATCCTCATGCGAATGCCGCAGACAGGTTCGAAAGCAACTTTTTTTCAAATTTTAGTGGCAAGAGTCACTTTAAATATCAATAGCCTTCCCGTAAAACTCAAGAACAAGGTATAATATAGATTGCCTTCGTTTTTCACAACTACTTATGTAGCGCCCTTCGGGTAAACATATTACTCTGGTAGAACATGCACCGCCTACGGTCAGACAACTTGATTTAAGTAAAATGAGAGAGCGAATTATCGATGCCTCTATCGAAATTGTAGGTCAAGCAAACGATCAACATGTAGCGCAGCAATTTCAAATATCTCAACGTTCCTACACTCCTAACTATCACAGCGTTTGGCTCACTCGCTTCATCTACGGGCGATTTCTTTATGACTACTTTAAAAACAAAAAGGAGCTTGGAAACAGCGAGGATGGAAGACGGCATCATGCGTAATTCTCATCAAGAGTGGCTTTTGCTCTCTAAGAAATGAATTTTCTCACCACCTTTTACACCACAGCAATGCAATTCTAACTACTATTTTACAAATAAAAATGTGGATATTTCGATGATTCTTTAGAACAATTAAATCGTTCAAAAGTGCCATGGATTCCACTATTTTCTACCAATCCTATGATAAGAAATTGTATTAAAAAAGAGCGCCAAAAGTACAGACATATGACAAGGAATGCAGCAAAGACCACCGCACTGATGATAGCCTGATGCATGCCGTCTGTGATGGTGCGATGCTGAACAGTCTAGTTTTGTGAGGATAAAAATTTTCTCATCTGGTCTTTGATTGGCCTGGTTTTCCATAGCAATTTTATTGATAATGTTATTTGTTTCTCTCTCATGGAATATAGTCCTTTTTTGAAGGCATATATTTCTTTAGGCACCATAAATTCGGTTAGTTCATGTAGTGAAATTCGGTAATCTCCCTATCCGGACAGCCCGGCCTCCTTACCATGGTATCTGGCCACCAGGTCGACCATACTGTCCGTGTTGGCTGAAGTAGTAGTGATAAGACTGATATACTAGCTCTGTTCCCTAAAATTCCTCTTAACAACGTTTACAGCTCTTCTGGTCCTTTACACCACTTGGGGGCAAATCTTTCTCAGAAAGGTAGGCAATCTTGGCGGCGCCAATTTCCCAAGTACTCTCAATGGAGAGTCCAAATAAGCACAATTTTTAAGTATTTAGTGCCCAGGGACGCAATGCGAAGGTTTCATTACTGAAAGCACTTATAAAAGCATATTCTATGCTGCCAGGTACCGCCCTAAGCTCTACAACATTAAACATTTCTAAGCAAAAATTTTGACAACCCTAAAACCTCTGCACTTGGTAAGGGGTAGATACACTGTGAAGACAATGACGGTATTAATTTGAGCAACACCAAGAAAGCACTTTTTACTCAAACTAGATTGAGCGATTTATTGTATGTCTATTTGCAGAAGGGAATGTTTAGCAAACAGCGTTAACTCACTTATTGTTGACTCGACTAAATGGATGACATGCCTTAAACGTGTCTCATTAATTCCTCGTACTCCTGAATCGCACTAGGCAGGAAGCCTAAGCCACTTACATTTGGCGATGCATGTGCTTGATGAGTTTGTGCTTTCGAAAAATAAAGGCATCACAATGAATTGGTTCCACCGTCCTTCACAAGTTCTCTAAATGTGGAGACTGCCATTGCGAATGAACATAACCAACAAAATTTCATGGTCAAACCAGAGCATTGAAAGTTGGTCCTGACCTTCACGGTACTATTAAACATTTTTCGTCTCGCGCAAATGAGGAATGCCGTTGCACGATGCATGCCCAATCTGCCCACCATTGCATAGGTCGTGACTGGTGCAATTGTGTTTACAGCACGGATTACATTTCACCATTGGCATACACATGTGTTTTTGTTTGCTTTAGTCGGCCTTAGGATGGGTGGCAGTGACCGGAACGCCGCTCCCTACGTGCATTTTGCATTGTGTTTATAGCATTGGCTCCATCATAGACCTTGGATGTCTGCTAGGGTGAAAGTCTGCCGGAACGGAGTTATGATTAACCAGCATGATTCTCAAGACTTCAAATGTTTACCGTTCACAGTAATGAATCCACCCGCCCCGCCCCCCCC